ATCATACATTTCAAACCGTCGTCGTCCAAAACAATTTCTTCATCTTCCGGAATATTTGTCTGTAAATAACTACGAATACACCATACAATATTGAATATAACAACAACAATACGCATAATACCATAACAAATAAAGACCTGTATCTCAGGACAAGCAGTTCTCCAATGTTTAATCAGATTGTTGTGTTGTCTAAAAAGAATACCGCACAAATCACAGCAATATCCACCGAACAAACATCGTTCATCCAAATTTTGAATATCGCCTTTATGCAAATTCAAGTGGCGAGGCATGTGAGTCGGTAGGATTATTATACCACAACTGCGGCATATATTACCGCGGCGATCTGAAAATACACTGTGATTGATATTCACAAGTCAAAGTCAAATTGACCACAAGTCAAATTCTGCTTCTTTAAACTACTCCTCGAGTCGAATACGAGTATATGTACATGTTGATTCTAATTCAACTGGGAACATGCGATCCTATCTATTCGATGTGAAGTTCTTTATGAAACAAGTGTCAGTCTGCATGAAAAATCCCCTTTTTGGGCCGGGGCTAAGAGTGTCCATGGAACACTAATGGATCAAAATGTGATGTTTAAATGATGCTATATCTCAAGCAATCGAAGCTCATTCGACACCACAAACTTCTCTCGAATCTACAAGCAATCCTCGTGTTGATAAGATCTGAGGCTGCAGGTCACCTCAACAGGCTTTATACAATCCAAAAATTTACTATGAAGGCTGGACGGCATCTCGAGTTTATCCAGCGGCGTCGTTGCGTACAAAACACGTCGATTGATTCCGATATCAATCGGGCCTATGTCGGTCTTCTTCTGTGCCACCTCCTCGACCACTTGTCTTAACGCACCCACGTCCATTGTCTTCAATTACTTTTATAATTCTCATTTCTTTTCTTGAATAACAAAAATTATGCAGTAAATAGTTTCTGCCACAAATATACAGATAAACAATAATAATTCAAATAACAATGTTTTAAAAACTGACTCTTCGTTCTTCCAGACCCAATAAGGCG